CTTGCCTTGAGTTCCGTTATGGCCAAAATATCCGTTGCAGAGTAATTTTCCCGTCACTTTGATACCTTAATCCAAATTATAAGGGCATTAAGTATAACTTTTGAAACTATGGATAAATTATATGAAAAATCACTAAATCACAAGGGAATAAAGTGTATTTCACCCTAATTTTTATTAACTATTTCATGGCCAAAAAGGTTTAAATGGATTCGACTCTCATAATCATCATGAGTTAATCACGAGTTGATGCACGTCTTTCCAATTCTTACAAATCGACTGTCAACGCAGTCTTAACGTGACCATAGTCTTAACGCATTCTTATTGTTTCACTGCTCGTGTCAAAACAAAGTGCTTCTATACATGTGATAACTTGATGTAAAAGATACATAAGTTAAAGCTTGAAGCATCGTTTATTTATTTGACAAATAAAAAGAAAGAAAAGGAAGTAACGTGATACATACAAACCTTTTTTTTTTTTTAAGCACGATACATACAAACTTAAATGTTGTCGGCCAAGTAAACATTGGAATTGATATTCCAAATTCTCAGCTAAGATATTCGAAAACCCTTAGGATCATGTGTTTGTGTATGGATAATGGATGGATGATAACATGTACATTTGGTGAATTTGTATGTGGTGACCGAGTGAACTGTTCCCAACTAGAAATTGACTTGGAACTTTCATATCAAATCCATGCGCCAATTCCTCCATAGATTTTTCATTTCATGTATTGAATACTTGCATTCGAGAAATTAAAAATCTCTCGGCCGGGTTGTTGCTTTTACATTTTAGCTGAGCTGTTTTTCTGATGTAGTTCTGGAAAGTCATACATGGAAAGATAGAATAAATTGCTCTTGACGTAAATAGGGTGCTACTTATCATTTGAAGTTTTCCATGCAAAGCTCAGCAACTTTCATATGGCCATTGTCTGTAGATATGACAATTTCTTCATTCCCCCAATTTCTTCATACCACCAAGAATAATTATAATTCAAATTCAAAAATAGTTAGGATATATTTTCCAATTCTCCTTTATTTTTTTTCAATATTATAGTATTATACATGATAATAGAATGGTTACAACTTTCAATGCAGCTCTAGCACAATACTAATCCACTAGCTAGTAGAACTAATTTTTTTTTTTCACGAAAAAGCCTAACAGCGGTCCCTCCTCACGACTAATTCAATGTAGAATAGGTAAACTGTTGGCTTATTGCATGTAAAGATTAAAGAATATGCATGTATTTCATCCTTGACGTATAGTTTGGCAACAGAGTAGTAAATGTTCAATAATAAGACAGTCAAATTCTGCGGATTAAATCCGAATTTTCATGACCCTTTTATGCAAAAGATAATCTAAAAAAACCATTTGTTTGTTTCATATCTCTGTCATGTGTACGATATATTCCGCTTAAATTTGCTATAATGTTGATGTTCTTTAAACTCGCAAGAGAACAGAAATGCCCAACATTTTTGAATAGCTTGGCATACAGGGACAGGTAGGTGGCGCTAATCAAGGGGCTTTTTCAGTCAAGAGAAAGCAAGCAACACGATTTTTCATATACCACTACTCGCTACTTCCAATTACAATACTGAATGAGATATATTCTTCCTGATAGGGTAGCGTAAAGACCATTATTGGTTCTAAAGCTCTGATCCCATTTGAGAATTCAAGATTTCTTTAATTTCTTTAGCACAGCAGTAGTGTATCTTTGAATCCCACAATTTGGTGGATAGCTTTTATTTTGTTTCATTGAGTTCTTGACTTTTAGTACTTGCTATTGATTAATTAATCCCCTGAAAGAGATTAAAAAAAAAAAAAACCCTTAGAAAATCTTTTCAGATGGTACCTTTTTTGTCAACACGTCTTCAATCTTAAGACAACCATGCCCTTGTCGACACACTCAAACTTGCATAATGCATGAGTGCATTCTGGTCAGCTGAGTCATTTTCATTTTCTTGGATTTCTTAAATAAAGCTTGTAAATTGGAATTTGATCATTAAAATGTGGGCCCCAAGAGTAGAAAAACGGGGGAAGAGAGGAAGGAAGCTGAGGAAGGCGGACAAAAGGCTCGTCCTGACGGTGCCACCGGCAGCAAAGCAAAGCAGTGGGATGTAACGGAGGCATTTGTCCTCAGGAGGAACTGGTCCAGTAAGAGACTACTTTCAGAGTTGAAAGTTGGAACTGACTTACTGGGCTCGTGTACAAGCATCACTCGTCACCCACAATTAGACATTTCTCTGCCTCTCTGGAACGCATCATCTAGATTCTAATATATTAATACTGCTAATTACACATTAAGGGTCCGTTTGTTTCGGGTGAAAATGTTTTCCAGGAAAATATTTTCCTAATTTCCCGTGTTTGGTTGCACAAAAGTTACCTAAAACATTTTCCTATGTAAAATATTTTCACTCATCTTATGGAAAACAACTTCCCTTCCAAACTTACTGAAGTTGTTTTCCGAAATGCATGCATCCCGCCTGTAGTATGTTCCAAACTTATTGAAAACATCTTGTAGTATGTTCTTTTTTTTTTTTAGTATAAACAGGAGGATTCGAACCTAAGACCTCTTTCTTGCACTCCCTCCCCCGTACCATCCAACCCTCCCCCTAGTATATTCAAAATAAAAAAAAATCTCATCATGCTCATCCTATGCTAGTAATTAATTATGTATAATAGAGACATTCTTTTCTAGAGAAATTTTCAGCAGTGAGAGTGCGAGATATATGTCACAATAAGCATTGCATGTGATTGATATTTGACACTAAATGGCCAGCAATTTGTTTATTGCTTAAGGAGATATTTTTTATTTATATATACATTTCTCCAAGATTTTTTAAAGTTAAACAATGAGATAAATTTTCTTATTTTGCATGGGAAGAAGTATGTAGTTATAATGTGTAGAAAGTAAAGATAGAGATAAAAGTGAAAATATTTCAAAAGTTAAACAAACATCAGAAAAATGAAGTAAGAAAATATTTTCAATAAGCTAACCAAACACCTGAAAATGATGAAAGAGAAATTATTTTCATGGAAAATTACTTCCACGGAAAATATTTTCCTAAGGAAAACATTTTACTTCCAACCAAACAGACCCTAAAATAAAAAAGTCATGCAATATCCACTTTTAAGCAGTTTCAACTATTGTATTCACACTTGCTTTGCTTTAATGCTTTCCTCAATATGCCAATGTTTTAGATTAATGCAAAGTAAGGATGACTACACACACAATAATAGAAAATGAATGCAGTTGTTTGAGGTTTGCGTGATATGCCATAACCCAGAGTACCAAAGAAAAAATGGAAAAGAGATTAAGATGGAATGTTGAGAGTCAAATAATTTTGGCTTCTAATCAATAAGTCTCAAATTTTAAGGTCTGAAAAGAGCAAGTAGAACATATAATACTCCATACATGCCATCTATGACATGAAGTCTACAATATAGGAAATCTTTTCATAACAGAAAGAGAAGTTTAAAGTCCAGTCCAATAATATGGCACGTCATACCATATGGTTTTTAATCTTTTACAAAACTCAAAAAGTGGAAAATACTTGGTTAAAATGGTGTTATCATGTATAAGGGTACAAATGAGTCGAATTTTGACCTAATCGAACTAAGACTCAACTTAGTTTTATGAAGCTCGAATTCGAACTCTCAATGTAAAACTCGAACTCGAGGTAGACTCAAATTCAAGTCGAGCTCGAACTTAAAAAAATAATTATTATTATTTTTAAAAAATTAATAAAATAATAATTTTCCTAATAAATAATAAAATATTAGGAATATATATATAATTTTACTATTAAAATAATATATATATATATATATATAATTGAGTCGACTTGCGAGTTAACGAATTAAGTATTTTTGAATTCGAGTTCGACTTAGTCAACTCAAGTTCGATATTGACTCAGCTCAAGTCAAGCTCGGACTCGAGTTGCTCGCGAACAGTTCGATTCATTCGCAACCATAATCATATACAATAATCACTTCACCTAATTTCTTTTTCAATAACTATACACATACTAATAGGTTAAACCAATGAAATTCCGCATATGACATGAACAAATGCCAAAACATAAAGCAAAAATTTTGGGATTTTACATTGTTATCAAAAAGAGAAGTCGAGAAAGGGAGGAATGAATTGGATGATACGGAAAGAGAGAGTGCAACTGAGAAGTCTCAGGTTCGAGACTTCCCACTTAAACTAAAATAAAAAATTATCTTTTAAAAAAAATGAAAGAGAACCTAAGAGTTAAACCATGGCCTGCATATCTAACTATAGTTAAATCTATGGTGTTTGGATAGCAATAAAATAGTGAAGGAATCCGCATGAACATGTGCCAGATTCAACCACTGCGCAAAACCGTCATTTAACAGTAGTATCTTCCATGACCAATCCGTTGACTCCATTGATGCAATCCATTTGAAAAATACTACCAAATTTAAAAAGAAAAAAAAGCCATAGATCATATTTTATTAGCCCTACTAGTCAGTGGTCAACCGGGTCGCCGGCTGGGCTAAGCCAGATTCATAAAATAGCGGTATTATAATACATCCAGTTAGGTACAGATTGCGGGTTATTTGATCAAGAAATTGCAGACAAGCCAACCACATAATTTATGTCTCAGTTCGCCGGATGAAATGGCATTAGAATTTGTTAATTCGGGACAGCCGACAAACGTGTTGAAGATTCTTTGAATTTTCTGCGAACTGGGTTAGGCGTTTACTGTAACTTTTGGGTCATTAGAGTACTCTGTGAACGCTCACTGCTCGGACTAACTTTTGGGCCTTAAGACTACCTTGTTAAAAATCACGGCTTAAGGTCCAATGGGCTGTTAAGACACACACACTCTTCAGCCCATAATATACTAGTAAAAAGTTTCCCCATACGAGCTAGATTTTGAAGTCTCAGCAGTTTCAACACCCTTTTAGAGAAGAAAGAAGTGGAAGTGCTATTTCAACACACTTAAAAAGAGAAGGAAAAAGACTTCAGCAGTTTCAACATTCACAAGAATCTGTGGATTTCTGGTAACAGCAATTATATGATGAGAAGTGTCATGAATGACACAAAACTGCAACAGTACAGAGAAGCTCACAAATCTTGTCGAAATGGACAGAGAGAGACAGAGGAAGAGCAGCAAAGACTGCAAATCAAGAATCGATTGTCCAGACATGACTTGCATCAAGAGTTTAACAATCAAAATACATCATAGCCTCACAGGGTTGCCAATAATTGTTGTCCAAAACTGTGTAAGAAATTTAGTCCGGATTCCAGTGGGAGAAAGCAAAACGTTGCTTGCCAAAAGCTTGCATACTCTCTTCCTTCTCATGGACAGGGTGATTCAGGGAGATATTGTACTTGCCACTGCTCAAGAAAAACAAAGAGCTCTTATACTAGCAAACACGCTAAGATAAACTCTGACAAATTTTTTGCCTGAAACATGTCAAATATCCAAATGTAAGTGTAGGTCAAATGTCCAAATGTAAGAGTAGGGACGGGAAATGCTGGCGCTTTTACAGATTTTAGGACAACCTATTTAAACCTTTTAGGAAGCAACTGAACTTAAGAAGAAAAACTTCCGTACTTGTCAACAAATTCCAACAAGTCTGAAATTATATCCTACTTTGCCTAGATAAATGTAAAGTCAAATTTTACCTCTTGAGATAAAGAAAAAGCTTCTTAGTATAAAGATGTAAAGATTAAACTTTGATCAAATTAATATGGTCCATGAAAACAGAGAATCGGGCTAAATAGGACAAGTTTCATCACACCTAAACCAGGAACAAATCTACAGAAAGATATGATCAGCAATTTGGGGAAAAGAAGAGATGAATATATTAAAATTAGCTGTCAACAACTTTTTTGCATGAACAATGATTGACAAGGCATTCTCTGTAATTTTCAAAGAAATGACAAACCAGGTGAAGCCATCTTCAAGCTGGCTGCATCCAGATGTACATTTGATTTGGTGAACCTGTGAAATGCAGCCAAAGAACAAGTCCTGAGGATCAAGTACTTAAGAGATTCAAAATTCAAAAGTTACTACAGGTGTGTTACCATGCCGCTCAGCATTGATTCAGTATGACTAAGCTTATTTGCGATGGTGGACAAAATGACTATCGGTCATAGATTAGATGAGTCCCAGCTAGCATAAACAGCCCCAATAATTTTTTCATGCAGCTTTACACCGGAGCAAGCGACTATACCCCTATCAAGCCCTTCAAGGTACATTCCCTTCGAAAAGTCCAGTGGCCGCCCTCCTGCATCAGTTACCACACCACCAGCCTCCTGTACAAGGAGAACACCAGCAGCATGATCCCATATCTTCTCCTTGTAGCCCGCTCTGGCAAACTTCATAAAAATCTCAGCATCTCCCCGAGCTATTGCTGCATATTTCACCATGCTATGAACACGGAGCGGCTTCTTTCTGCCATAGTGTATAAAATTGCAAAACCTCAGCCTTTCAAGAGCCATTTGAGGCTGTCCAAGCATGTATTATTAACGTATAGGAGGTTAAAGCCTCTTTCCACAACCAATAGAAAGTAAAAGCGAGAAAGAAAAATAGAAAGCCTCTTTCAAAATTCAGTTTTACTGAAGTACAGAAAACAGACTAAGGGCTTAGTTGTCAACAAGTGGCATTCTCCAATCATTGTCCTATAAGAGTGAAAAAGAAGTGTAACACCTTAAAGAGCAGCCATAAACTGATATTTACCATCCATTTAGTGTTTTCTCTCCATTGAACCTTTTGAAATGCAAAACCTATTGTTTGTAGCGCTGTAACCGCAGAGGGCAGAAGAGGTTACACCTCTTTTAAAGTTAAAGCTGTACAAATAACTGCTCTGCAGATAACCAACCCAAGTTGGTAACCAGCTTCAGAAATTAAATCCAACTCTAAAATATGCAACCAGCATGATGTCCAAGTTTACTAACCATTCAAGCTAATGTAAGTCATCTCCTTTTTAATAAAGCCACAGACGTTTAGTAAGGCATTCATACAAAGTGATAGAGAGCTACACACCTTAGCCCAACGGCTTGAGCAAGTCCGGCTGTGAAGGAATGATTTGAATTAGCTTCTTCCACAGGCTCACAGAAAGTAGCCAGTGCTGGATCCTGAATAGAAGAAACTCGCACTAATCTTGCAGAATTTGGCCAGACAAGCTTTTTATCACCCTGGACAAGTGGCTGCATCCAAGCTTCACCACTACCTGTCCTTGTGTACAAGATACACCCTTCTTCCCATATACCAGGGTTAGTCACTGACAATTCTGGCACGGCATGACTTTGTTGCTCGTGTTTAACAAGCCAGTTTCTTTTAGCTGGGTAATTAGGGCACCCAAGAACTCCAATAACAACTTCTGCATTATCAATCAAGGCAAGAGCAATAGCATACTGGCTCCCACGCAAAAATCCTAGCGTTCCATCGATAGGATCAAGGACCCAATGCTTACCAAGAGGACCTCCGGCTGCATTGCACCTGCCAATTGCCTCAAGAACTTGTGAAGGCCCAAGAGCTTGAGCTGGGCTTTTAAGACCAAATCTGGGTGCTTCACTTAGGCATTCATTCACGGTGTTGACAACCATTTCCAACAGACCTGCTGATTCAGGCTTTGAAAGAGTTTGAACATCTTCTTCAGCAACTATGGAGATGTTCTGGCTCCCAAATATTTCTGACAAGATCCAGCTTACCATGGCTTGTACACTCCAATCTGTCAAAAAAGCCATCACATGTTTTGTCAAGTCAAGTACAAATGCAAATACAGATGTGGCCATATAATAAGCAATTACATAGCTTCTGTATAGCTATGCAGCTATAAAAGCTTCAACGTTTCAGATATTCAAATGGTAGCATGTTACCACGAACGAATTTGAGATCTAACAAAGTGATTAAATAAGCATATTGACATGAGAGGTGGTCAGTATGGTTTTTGATTGGAGCTGTGTGTACTTGTTTTTATCAGTCAAATAAAATAAAAAAGGACCTACTTTACTCACATTCTGCCAATATAAAGCTAATCAAATGAACTGGAAACCTTTTCTAAACAGTTCTGTGCTCCTATATTCCCCTTAAGAAAGAGAGCCAGTAAACTAACAAGGAAACAAAAATTCCTTAAAATTTGGAAGAAACGAAGTTCATCTCCGTCGACAGAAGTTCTCAAACCCCTTTCGTGAAGATAAAAAAATTCTTACTGAACTATACAATGCAGAACAACTGCATTACATAAAGTTCTTTAGAGAAATGTCATAGGGTCAGCTTTACGTGAATGAGGAAATGTCTCACCTGAACAAATTTTAAATGCCAGCTTATAGACTATCAATCAACAGAAACCCGTTGTGAGTTCTATAAAAAAAATGCAACTGTTTTCGCAAATAAGATCACATTAATATGTGAATATGTACTGAAGAAACAAGAAAAAAGCATGCAATCTTTTGTTTGTTAAGAATACCAAAGATGAGAACTTTCTTACAAGACATATGGTTCTAACAAGTATACTATTGTTCAGTACATTTACGTTCCTTTTTTTTTCACCTACTTTCTCCGAATTTCAACAATGCAAAGCTCCACAAACTATTAAGAAAAACAGAAACACAAAAATCACCTATATTAAATGTTTACCACGAAACAACACCAAAAACAAAGTTGTAACTGAAATACGGGGAAAAATAGGAAATAACTTTTTCCTTCTAAGAAAAGGAAAGTTACCAGCGATAGTGACAGGGGAATTATCCTCTTTAGACTTGAATTGAACGAAGGATGTAGAAGAAAGCAATCCTTTTTGGACTTTTTGACAGAGTGAGCATGCCATATGCACCACCCTCACGGCCACATTCAATTCCAGAGAGTATTTATCGTCCTCCATGATGCCAATTTCAACAATATAGATCCGACCCAGGTGAAGAAACAATGCTATGTGAAAAGGGTTGGTCTAGATTGGTAAAGTAAAAGCTGTTCTCTGCATGGTTGATACCTCGGAAGAGAGGTCACTGATGATGCTGCATCATCTGGGTTGACGGCAAGGGAATGGAACGCGTTTGTAATGTACCAATTTTTAGGAGTGAATTGCAATTCGCTCCCTCGGTTTTTACACATGCGAATGTGTTTGGAATTGTAAATTTATCTCAAATAATATTTCATTTGTATCATAAACACATTTTTTAATATATTTTTTTATATTTTTAATTACTTTTTATGTTACATACATCACATCACAAAGAAGTACAACTGTAGTTATTTTGAATAATACTCTATATGAGTCCCTGAAGAATTAGTAAATTGTGTAAACGCCTCCAATTTTTTCCTGATTTTAGATTTCTCTTCTCATTTTTTTTTTCATATTCAGATTCGCCTTCCATTCCATAATTCAAGTTAATCGTTAACTTACAGTTATAGTTACTTCCATAACTCCATTCCCCTGCTTATAGTACTGTCCATTACAAATATATTAAACAAAAATTAAATCTTTGGCCAAAGCCATGATTTTGAAACCTTAACAAGCCTTGTATTCTAGAGGAGTATAAAAGAATAAGGATAAAAGCTAATTTAGTTATATTAGAGTAAAATCAACGACTGAAAGTTGTCTACTACTAGACAAACTCATAAATCTTGGTGTAAGTCCCAAACTTAAGATCTATAATCTTTGCTATTTTTCTAGTAGATAATCAACAGATCTATAAGAAGTTGTTATCCTAGTGAGCGAGACTTTTTTTTTTCCCCTCTGAGTGGGGGTGAGACATAAGTTTTTTTTTTTTTTTTTTGGTGTGTTTGGGTAATAGAGGCCAATTTTGCTAACAATACAAATCAAACACCGCTAGCAATCCCTTCATTCATGTACCTTTCGTCAACATTAAAGACTTGGAAAAGCAGTCGATGCTGACTTTAATTGTATGGTTCACATGGAAAGATTACTCCCCCACGCCTTGATTCACTTTATCGAACACAAATCTTAGTAGCGTAAACATTTGACTTGCGACCCATTTTAGGATTGGAGTGCAATAAATGAGTTAGATATATTTTTCAATCGCGCGCGCGCTTTGCTTTCTTTTCTTTTATGGGACTGAAACTTCAACAGTTTCTTTCTAGCACACATGACGCAAGGCAGTAGGCAAATTGGGCATTTCAGTTTCCTTCTTCCTCTTAGACTCGTCTACTAAAAGCTGACAGGTTTGCATTAATGTTGTTAAGCTCGGATGGATTCGAGACTTTCAAGTGATGAAAGCTGCAGGGCAATACATAGTTGAAATTAAGAAAGTTCAACTTTAATTTTCAGGGGTATCATTTTATATGCTGCTGGGGACAAAGAAAATCGAGGTGTTGATGATATTCTTGATCATTTCCTCGGTGTAGCATTAATGAAAGGGGGAGAAAATTGAAAGAATAAAGACATACTACTAGTGTAATTTATTATTTCAAATGGTGGCCGTCCATATGTATATGTGACATGTCTTTCATGGTTCTACATTCCTGGGGTGGGGTACGTATTTGATTTCAAGTTTAGAAAATTGAAAGAATAAAGGCATACTACTAGTATAATTTATTAGGGAAAATGACATGTTTCATCCCTCACATTTCACAAAAATATTCTTTTCGTCCCTCACTTTTAAAATGAAGCAATTTCATCCCTGACATTTAAAAATTAAAGCTATTACATCCCTGACCTTATTTTCAATCTGAATAAAACCATCCAATAATCCAATAATAAATTTCGGAGATAGAATTGATAGGTCATTCGGTCAATTTCATCATATTCACATGACATTTATCAAACCAAAAAAAATAAATATTATAACATAAAGGCCATTATTTGTTTTGGAATAGTCGGGTTTTTCTTTTGGGTAAATCTTTTCATGCACCGTTAGTATATTCGCTTGCGAGTCTAAATGTGTATCATAAATACAAAATTTGGTGTTTAAATTTAAATTGAAACGATATGGTAGGTACATAAAACTATCAGTGTATACAATGACAATGTAGGAATTCAAGTTGAGTTATATTCAAGTTGAGTTAACCAAGTGATCTACCAATTATACCTCCAAAATTTGTAATCAGGTTGATAGGTGGTTTGATTCAGATTGAAGATTGGGTTCAAGGATGTAATAGTTTTAATTTTTAAATGTCAGGGATGAAATTGCTTCATTTTAAAAGTGAGAGACTAAAAGAATATTTTTGTGAAATGTAAGGGATGAAACAGGTCATTTTCCCAATTTATTATTTCAAATGGTGGCCGTCCATACTCCATATGTATATGTGACATGTCTCTGTTCATTTCATGGTTCTACATTCCGGGGTGGGGTACGTATTTGATTTCAAGTTTTCAACATCCAACTGTATGTGACACGTGGCTTTCTCCCACCACCGAACAGTGAATCCTGTGTAGGTTTCCCGCTACATGAACAAATTATCATGGACGAACGGGCATCATCAACCCCTACATACGTAATAAATTCGAGAGATTGGCCAATCATCCCGCGGTTGGACGACGTTTCTTAGGAGTAGTTTACATAACATAATACCATTTGCCGACTTGTATAACCAACCTGTCATTTGCAATGCCCAGGAGCTTTGATTGAAACTAATACCATCACCAATAAATATGTAGACCAAGTAGTAGGCTTCGCAACTAAGTTTAACTCCACACGATATAAGAGGCTGAATCAGTGTGTGTGTGGTATAGCTAAATGAATTGTCTAGGTTATGAAAGTTGATTGATTTATGTGCTCAAGGAGAAAGTGTGTGCCCATTGGACGGAAAAAAATAGACAATACTAGTATTAAATACAGTAGTAGCAATTAGAGCAAATACAAATTAACTTAATTGATAAATACAGTAGTAGCAATTAGGGCCAATACAAATTAACTTAATTGATAACGTTAAGTCAATTTCTCGTTCGAGGTCGTATGCAAGCATTAAATTGGTGGGATATTTCTAATCTATAATAGTGACTCGAGCTAAATTCAGCTTAATCTTTTCTTTAGGAACAAAAAAAAAAACAACTACGGATTTCTATATGTAACTATGTAGGAGTTTTGGATTTGTTAAAACGGATTAAAATATGTATAAAAGGTGGATGGAAGGAACTGAACCTCCGCGCTATAAAATAAAATGTATGTGCTGCTAATGCTAAAGTACGACATAGTAATATTAGTGCTATTGACCACAGATTCTCTTCCAAGCCTCCGGCCCTCACCTCATTGAACTCTTTGAGTTGTGACCAGCACCGAAAGCAATTCAAGACAGAGACCTCAAAACTCATCATTTTCTACCCGTCATCGACTTCGACTTCCATGGTTTGCTTCTGCTTTTTGGTGGATCAGAAGAGGATGGTAAGGCGGTGCAAGCCGGTGGCAGGGTCGTGTTCGCGGTGCGGTCGCGGGGCAAGCGTGGCCGAAATGCGAACTTCCACGAGATTCTGTTACATTCCATTTTATTGGAAATCTTGGAAGGCGATCATATGCAGCTTCTGTGGAGCCGTTCTCAAATCCTACAGATAAACAACTCTTTCTTACCCTGTGGTGCGGGTGCCTTTCTTGTGCACAATTTGTATATTGAGCTAGAAGCCAAGTGATCATGATCAGATTGATGCTGATCATTCTTGGAAAGTCACATCGAGCTGCTACTTTCTTTAGTAATCATGGAACTTCAGGGTTAAGCATCGCGTTAAGGGGAATAAGGAGGAATGTTTCTTGGACAGTACAGCACCCACTGAAAGAATCTAATACTCAGTTTGCCGGATGTTCTCAAACTTTGAGTTGAAGAGAAGAGGAGAAGTACGGGCCCTTTTTTTGTTTGTTTTTTTCCCCCTAACCAATATCTGTATTTCATATAAGTACTTTCTTTATCTCTTATTTTTCGTATCAGAAATTTCATCTGCTAATCCCTGATCAGCATATTTACCCAAAAAATTTCTTTCTGCTCCCCCTAATTTCTGGGTTAGTGGAAACGAAGAAAAGTGTCAATCCTCGACCTCGAGAAATATTTTGACAGTTGAATACTAGTCATCCTCAGGTTTTACCATGGTGGTTCGTTAATACAAGAGCAAAAGGTTTACCTTCTCAACAATGCTTTTTTTTGCTGTATCAACATACTATCAGTATACTTACTAATCCAAATACCATTATAATGTCTTCAACAACACCTTTTATCCGGTTAGTGCTGAGGTTTGAATTGAATAGCTAACAATGAACTGCTGTGCCTGTACCCTTTCTCAACATGATTTCAATGTGCTTTAGTTATATATTCTTCTCTCCCTTCTGTGTTTTTATTTATTTATTTATTTATTTATTATTCCCTTTTATAATTCTACATCATAAATGTTATTAATTACCACCGTATTGAAATTTCTCTTTAATTATACCGAATCTAAGCACAGAAGACCATCTAGAATGCCATTATGATTTAGGCAGGGTCGTGTAAGATACCCCCTCCGTCCCACTTTGATAGTTCTGTTTCTTTTTTCACACAATTTAAAAAAAAGTAGTTAATTTTGTTAGAAAAGTAAATTTAGATTGCTATTTTTCTAAAATACCCTCACATTAAATAGAGTACAACTTTATGGGAACTTGAATTTATGGTAAAAAAAAGAATCAACTCTCATTAAATGGGGTAGGTTTATAGTAACAATAACTTACATTGAATAAGGGCATTTTAGAAAAATTAAAATACAACTACATTCTTTAATTGGAAAGTGGACTACAATTTGGAACAGACAAAAAAGGAAAATAGAACTATCAAAATGGAACGGGTATATACTAGGCTTAGGCGTTAAGGTTCGTACAAACATGAGTTGTTTAGAAGGCTGGAGCATTGGCTTGGTCCCCATCGCAAACCTAAAATCCTAATTATAGTTGTGGAGTTTTCCAGCGCTGATATTAAATTAAAATTTGCTTGACAGAGCTTTTTTTTTTTCCTCCCAAGATTAGGAAGGAAACGACAAATTTCATTGTCAAGAAACTCTGCCATTCTAAATTTTTCTAATATCATCTCCAAACAAACCAGCAAGATATGTCAGAACTAGACTCCATGTCTTCGTCTTGGAGGTGGGATTGTACAGACATTTACTAAATTCAAGAGATATGATGTACTTTTTCGTTTCAAGGTTTAGTTAAAAAAATAAGTCACGCTTTCACTCGAAACTATCTCATCATGTGGTTTCATATTCGAATATTTTTGACGGTTTTGGAAATAGAATTTATACTTTCTTCAACTTAGTCCTACATCGCAAAATGATTATCAGTGGGTAAAACTATAGAAAATTTTCACTAAGAAGATACTTTCTAACAATCTAGAACACACACAAATTATTATTAATTAGTAAACTAAAAAAAAAAAAGAAGAAAGTTGAGTTAATTCTTTGACATGAGGAGTAAAAAGGAACAAAAAAAAAAAAAGGAGAGACTTTTGGTAGCATTTGGTAATTCAAAAACGGCCAGTGACAAAATAAAATGTGTATTTGACTTGACCCAAAAAGAAATTAATTCGAGGAAAATTATCAGAAAGAGCGGCTCACGTGAATGGCGGTGCTAACGTTTTGAACTTTCTCCTACATTCTAGTCTTGTATCAGAGGATAGGCTGTCATTCTTACGTGTTAGTACTTAATTCCTCTTTACAACTCGACAAAATTAATACCAAACGTACATATGACAAATAGATTAATAGTACTAGTTTTTATCATCTGACGTCTTGGGCCTCCCACCCGACTCCTCTAACCATCTTGATCCTGCAATTTTCGATTAATGCTGGCTTGGGCAGCAAATGAGACGGACTTCGGGTTTTTAAATGTTTTTGACATATCTACATGGATTGTCACCGACTGCTCGAGTTGCTATTAGTTTCAACCTTGATATGGATTCGATATGTAACGCTCCGGCCCAAGGCTCCTAGTTGACGAGGGACCGGGTTTCATCAAGTCAAGTCGAATTTGAATATGCACCATTTAATTTCAATTCGAGTTAAAATAATCGAACTCGAATTTGTGGAATTTTGAGAAGTCAAATTCAAACTCGAATTAGATGTCATATTCCTCTTACTCGAATTTAAAGTCTAATCGTGCTTACCTAATAAAAATTAGTATTTTATATATAATTTTGAAGAAAGGATATAATTGACGTTTCATATTGTTACATATAAAAAATTATATGTGTGTGTCTATATATATATATATATGTATGTATGTATATAGAAAGTTGAATTAGACTCGTTGAACATATGAGCTTAGGAATATAATACTCGAACTCAATTCGTATGTATTATCGAGTAACTCGAATTCGATTAACATCAAACTTGAGTCGAGTGGTTGACTGAGTTACTCGTGAGTTTGACTCGAGTAGTTTGGTCAACTTGGAACCCTGCAAAAACCACCATTCACAATGTATGTCATATACACGATTGATGGTGTGATATGTGCATCATTTTTTTAATACCAAAAAATGGAGTTTTAGCATTATTAGGAGAAGATTTTGAAAAATAAAGGGAAAAAAATTCAATTTGTCATTTTAGCATTATTACGAGAAGAATTTGAAAGAGCAAAGGAAAAAAATCAATTTGTCAAATTTCCCTAGTGCATTGTTAAATCATCTTTTACCAAATTAATGTAAAAGAGCATCATGAAATTTAATCTAGTCATTGTCTATGTTATCATCATTCATGCAAATATATATTGATTGACAATCGCTAAACTACGTATGTGAGGCTACACAATGATCACCGTTGTGCACGTCATGTGTCAAAATCAGACGAATTCCGAAGAACTTTATTTCATCAGTCGTTATTTTTGTGTTCAATTGCAGATTTTACTGCAAAAAGTAAAATTACAGATAAATCGACCACACTGAATTTTAACACATAATTTGGATTCCTTGTTTTTGCTTCTGTTTTTGAAAAACTGTTTTTCACATTCCAAATGCTACAGTAAATGTGTATTTCCAAAACAACTCAAAAAATACCATATCCAAACATTATATCAAAAACAACTTCATATGTATATTTCAATTATGTATATTATATATATATTATATTAATTTATTTCATCAGTCGTTATTTTTGTGTTCAATTGCAGATTTTACTGCAAAAAGTAAAATTACAGATAAATCGACCACACTGAATTTTAACACATAACTTAGCCCAAATTTTTTATTTTTAAAAAAGGTTTGCATACCCAAGCCCAATCTGTCGACCCGCCCTTTCGGCCCAAAACAAAAATTGGATTAGCACTTATTTTTGGGGTACAAAAGAATTTATGGTTTCCTCGAACAAGAACTTTTTCTGTGATCAAAACGGAGCATCAGCAGTACTCTGGTTGGACAGGGGAAGATGATGATGGCCTTATCCATTGCTGCTGCTGTTGCCTCCCCAGCTCATCATCCAAAGCAAACTCTAAAACCCCTTAAACCCCTTAAGCCCATACTTGGTCTTCCACTTCGCATAAGTAGCCGGCTCTCAGTTCCCAAGCTTCATCTTTCCGACCACCCCTTTGTCCCTGAGGTACAATAATTTAGACTAAAAGGCAATTACTTTGAAGCAACTATGTGTTGCTCGTTGCAAGAAAATGCTACTTTTGATTTGTCATGAGTTGAAATGGGCAGGTTGAAAGAGCAGTGGATTCGTTGCACTCGGAGTTCAGAGCTGTGGATAATCTGGTGGCCCGCAATACTGCTCGTGTTCTCAAGGCTTTTCAAAATGTCCGGGTCGGATCTCATGTAAGGAGAAAATGCTCTCCTTCATTCTTCTTCTTCTTCTTCCTTTCTTTTTTTTTTTGAGGATTTTGGTGGGATTTTAGCCACAATGCAGAATGATGCTTATGTCTCATACTGTTCTGGTTTATTTTCTGAATTTTGGCGCATGATTATAGTATAGTTACTTGCAAAGTAATCAGAGATTAGGACACAACTGACATTTTTTTGAAGCTTGAGTGAGGGTAATTAATAAAGTCAAGTCTTCAGCTTATCTTAACTTAAATTTGGCCTAGTTGGTTGTTTTCTTCTTTCTTTAACAGAAGTCATATTCTCGATTAGAAAGAATTCTCTGCTCCACGTTGTCGATTTTAAAGCCAAATTCCTAGTAATCGACCTCTCTTCTCTTCTCTGATTAAGAAAGACCTCTTCCACCTTTCATTGGACGTGTAGTCTGCTCTTTTTTCTTTTTTCTTTTCCAATGGGCTAAAACAAAAGTATTGGCAACATTTGTAGAATTTTAATCCACGTCTTTCAATCTATTTTGTCGTCATGAGAATCTTCAGAAAAAGTGTTATAAATCAGGGAAGTTTACATCTATTTCATACGGAAAGAGTCAGCACACATCAAATTGAGCAGTCTGTTCAAGTACTTGCCTGAGGCAGTGCCATGATTGTCAATTACGGGAATTTATGGTGCAATATTAAAATCTTCTTTGAAGTCAAAAGTTTGGTTGTATTTTTCTTGTGTAGAGGTGCTGAGTGGGAACCAGAGAAGGGAAAAGAGAAGTTGATTTTTTTGTAACGATTTCTATGAAAATGATTTCAGTATTTGTGGAAGCTAAGGAAAACATTACGAATATTTTAATATAGAATAAAAATATCAATATTTGTTTGAATAACTCAGAAATAGGAATTGTACCATTACACAATGCCTCTTACACATGGTTTTGCTGAGGCGGAACTGGAAAATTGCAACTTGCAGCTTACCGATGTTGTCATGTTTACAATTTATAAATGACTGCAAGATAAATTTAGCAAACATGGCAATCGTTCTATTCTCGAGTACCAGGAAACACCAGCATATGGGCACTTGTTGTCCTTGTTAAATTCCACGAAGTTAATTTGACTTTGCCAACCATTTTATTGGCATTAACTGTACATCTTGCACCTGCTTCAGCACTTTAGTAGTAGCACTGGCTATGGACATGAAGAAGCTGGAGGACGTGAAGCCCTTGACCAAGTTTTTGCAGAAATTTTCGGTGCTGAATCTGCCATTGTTCGAGCACAGGTTTACCCTGCATTGATTGTTAATATTTGTATGCTTCCATGTTAGATTGGTTCCTTAATTCTGTTAATGTTTTCGTTCATCAGTTTTTCTCAGGTACCCATGCCATTACTTGTGCTTTGTTTGCCTTCCTGAGGCCTGGGGATGAGGTTAGCAGTTCTTTCTCTTTTCCTTGTTTTTGAGTCTCAACCCAAAATCATAATACGGTTATGTTGATTTATTTATCAGCTTCTAGCAGTTGCCGGTGCTCCTTATGATACATTAGAAGAAGTTATTGGAATCAGGGACTCTCATGGAGTGGGCTCTTTGAAAGATTTTGGAATAGAGTATAGAGAAGTCCCAGTATGTTGCTGTTCTCGTTCTCATGCACGTATGTGCATGTTGTAAAGTTCTATTCTTCTGATTTTTTACTCATTGGACCATGCTCAGCTTAAGGAGGATGGCAGCCTTGATTGGGATGCACTTAAGCTTGCTGTAAAATCGAAGACTAAATGTGCACTCATTCAGAGGTCGTGTGGTTACTTATGGCGTCACAGTTTGAGTGTTACTGAGATAGGAAGGGCCATAGACATTATCAAGGTAAACCTTCAGAAGTTCCACTAGATGATATGATCCTACTCTGTGGACCAAGTAATCAATAGCTATCAACGATGAGTAAGGATGTGAAGCATAAGTCCTATCATTGTGTCCTTGCAACACTTAGAAATTAAATTGGAGTTACATTGACACTGTTAATGTGATATCCTCTTGACGTCTTTGACAATTGCCTGAATGAGCTAAATCTTCCTGTAGATTTGCTAAACCGTGAATTATTTAAGATTCTTACTGAACTTTTCCATTGTTAGCCTCTTCATTTTGTTTTCCTGTTCATGAAGGATTTGTACGTGCAGGTGCAGAACCCTAACTGTTTGGTCATGGTTGATAATTGCTATGGTGAATTTGTGGAGAATATTGAACCTCCTATGGTTGTAAGTTGAAAGATTTTTTTTTAATCGTCTCATTTACATTCTTGTTGAGGTACAAGTAAATTAAGTGAACTGAGGGCAGGGTGCAGATCTAATTGCTGGGAGTTTGATAAAAAATCCTGGTGGAACAATCGCTCCTTGTGGTGGTTATGTTGCTGGTAAGAAGAAATGGGTGGAAGCAGCAGCAGCTCGTCTCTCAGCTCCAGGACTTGGTGTTGATTGTGGTTCAACACCTGGTGATATAATGCGAACTTTTTTTCAGGGTTTATATCTTTCACCTCAAATGGTTGGGGAAGCAGTTAAGGTGCATTATCTTTCGAATTATGTGAATATCATGTTTTGACCTTTCCAACCTTGAATAATGGGTTTGTTTTGTCTACAAGGGAAGCTTTTTGATTGCTGAAGTCATGACAGATAAAGGATACAGGGTGCAGCCTCTTTCTCGGATTCCACGTCATGATACTGTGCAGGTTTGTATATGGATATCAGTGGTGCATCTCTATTCTGTTGTATCTGTGATAGAAGATGATTGCTCATATTCTTCAAGTGCACACCTTTGAGTTGATTTCAAACATGTAATTCTACGGTATGGTCGACGGCTAGTCTAGCAGCTCCATTTGCAAGTGTTGTTTTGTGCAACAATTCATGGGACCTCTAATGTTGATAATTCTATCCCTAGATATGATTGAAAGGAATTGGTGCACCACTGATGCACATGTGATACTTCTTAGGCTGTGCAACTTGGAAGCCGTGAACTTCTGCTTGCTTTCTGTGAAGCTGTGCAAAGAAGCTCTCCAGTAGGTTCCTTCACTCGGCCAGTTGCAGGAGCAACTCCCGGCTATGCGTCGGAGGTAAATGCCAATTTCTGTCTTTTTCATCATGAACTGATTCAGGGAGACTTAGTATAGGGTTTGTACAAGCACATTGCTGAATGGGATTACTTAAATGTGTGAAAACAGGTGAACAAAAATGCTGTGAATCTGCAATTGGCTTATTTTATTTACCTCTCCAGTCTTAGGTGCACTTAAGTTGAATGCTATGTTCGTACTTACCACACATTGCCATAGCTCCCAAAGTAGCTCATACATAAACAAAGTCGTGACAAAACAGATCAAATCTTTCCTTGAATGTGTTCTTTTCCAATGTCTCTTCCTCCCAAAATCTCAGGAGACCACATAAATATTATGGTGTATTCTGGTTATTCAGCTTCGAATATAATTTGTCTGACTTTCTTTTCTGGGTATTTTTTATATGAATCTTCCTCTTATTTATTATGTTATTTCAATGCACTATTTAAGTGCCAATATTTGAAAAAAGTTGTTTGGATAGAGTATTATTCCAAATAATTATTTGGAATAATTACTGTAGCACTTTTTTGTGATGTGATGTATGTGCGATAAAAAGGTGGATTGGGAAATATGTTTATGATGCAAGCGAAAATTTTTTTTGGAAAAATTTGTTATCCAAACATTTGTAAATTTTGCAGATATATAAAAAAAATTTTAAAAAAATTTGCAGATATAGGCATAATGGGTTCTTATGATGACCTTTGTAGCATTTTCAATAAGAAACAAGAAAAATTTCGTCTTGGCTTTTATAGACATTCTTTCTTTTGGTGTAAGCAGTAAATCTGCTACCAAATCCAGGAATATAGTCTATACATCCACTTATGGTGTCTTAAGATTTCGGTTCATCATTTTGACATATTTCTGAAAAAGAAATCTGCAACTCTGACAATTACTCATGGTTTAGGTGATTTTTGCTGATGGGACGTTCGTTGATGGGAGCACAAGTGAACTCTCATGCGATGGGCCATTACGGGAGCCCTTCTGTGTTTTTTGTCAGGTTGGTGCACATGACCTCCATTATCCTCATTTTGGGATACCAAACTGGAGACATTTCCTTTAAGATATAGCAGCCTTGAAACATTTGACTTTGTTTAAAACGTCTACAAATCATGGAATGCTAAACTGCTTCTTCAAATAAATTTCAATGCAGGGTGGCACTCATTGGACACAATGGGGACTAGTTTTAGGGGAAGTTTTAAAACTTTTGTGATAGAGAGTTGGAATAATTAAGAAGGGTGCTTTGAAGCATGATCACGACATATTGGTATACCACATGAGGTTATAAGTGGCCATGAAATGACAGCCAGCCTAAAAAGGACTGTTCATTTGCTGTTATGACGTGATCTTACAATCAGCTGGAATAAGGTAACGGACCTAATGAATAATTTTCTGCCGTGCAATACTCTAAAACATGATTCATGATCGTTTTAATCATCTAAATTTTGGGCTTGACCTTTCTATATGTCTTAGGCTCTACCGGTGGGAGAACCATAAACTTGGTCGGAGTCTTTTGAGTATATTGGCAGAGGCAGGAAAATAGTGGTTATCTGATTGTTCTTTAGCTACCAATTTTGAAAAGTTGTTTCCCTGTCTTTAGCTCTTAGCCCAGCTTTATGCTGGTTTTGGGTGGCAACATTATAGGGTAACCATGACCTTAGATGTTACATGATAAACATGATTGCTTCCCTGTTATATCTGGTAACAAGAGGGAATAAGTGTTGATTCTGGCATAAAGCCTGTTTCTCTCTTTTGGTATTAAGAAAGAAGCCAATTAAACAGGTTCGTGTACCCTTAATATGGTAATAGTACTTGAGAACAGAGACGGGAATAATAGTTCATGGAGGAAAGTTTTAATTTTAAGCAGTGTGATGGAAAGGGATATGGATGTTGGATCCATTTGGCATCTTCTTTGACTGTTTGTGCATGTAATAGTTATTGTTTGATTCGTTTCTGGTTAAAATTGTCAGGGTTGTGGCTGCTTCATGAAGCAACAAAATGTTCAAGAGATATTCATATCTCAGGTGGTGGATAATTACAATCTGGCAGTCTCTATTTTCTTCTCCACCTCCCCAAAACCCCCTCCTTTCTTGATATTTTTCTGCAGCATATGCTCAATTTTGTCTCCACACATTCTTCTAGAAACTTGTCTCTCTCTTTTTTTTTTTTAAAGATATATATTCTCCTAGAAATGTTAATGTGTCGGCAGCAAAATTTTTTAGCAAATTATAATGCAGGAGATTTGGGGTATCCCAATTTTGTTTCAACATGAAAAAATCTCCCTTCTGGTTTCAAGTTTGTTTGTTGTGTTGTAGTAGTAGTTTACTTCCGTTATCCTACTACAAACTCCAGAAAGTAATTATAAATCCGGTCCAATTTGTGTCAAGTTTTTTGGTTAGCACATCATCAAAGGCACACTTTTCACTTAGTCAACATCACACCATTGAGCAAAACTTATAATTGTGTGAAGCACAGATTCAAGAAAGACTCGAAGCATTTTTGGTAAACCAGATTGGCTTCCTATCTACCTGTGATAATCTAATCAAATCCCTCCAGTTGCTTCTACATTTTCAAGGAAATTGTTTCAAGAATTCGTAGCAAATAATTCAGGAAAAGAAACGAGCATGAATACTCGAGACAGACTTCCATATGGTCCACTTTTGGTTTCGTGTAGCGTCTTTTTGCTTTGTTGTTAGCGTATAATACTCTCTTAATGGTTGAATGATCGCTGTCTTCCCCGCTGTTCCTTTCAAGACGTGCCCAAAAATGAGAAGCATGCAGCATCTCTATCAAATCTTCAATCTGATTCTTGCAGCCATACGGAAAACCTTCATTTTCATTTGTATTCGTCCCTGATCCCCGACAAAAGGGAATATTAGATCGGTTCCCTTCAGGTTTTGCATAATTACAAAATTTTCCCTTTTAAAAGTTCCGAAGTGAGAATAGGTCCATGTAATATTGAATCAATTCTTAACCACAGATTCCTCAGTGAGTAACGTTACATTTGTATTGAATCAATTATTTCTATCAAAGTATCAAAGTTCTCAGCTACCTAATGCCAATTAAACTCAAATAATTAGTAGTCGAACTTAAATTTTAAGTAAAAGCTTTTAGAATATGATCATTTATACACGTGTAATGTAATAGATGTTAAAAAAGTAACAATACGGTAAACTTGATGAGTCCGCGACTCAAGTCAACTTGAACTTCTGGATCGATCTGCCTTGAGCATTTCTTTTGGTCAGTTCACTCAAACAAGGACATGATTGAAAGTAGGAAACTTAATTGGGAGTAATTAAAATTTTAGTAAGAAGAAGGGACGGATTTAGTCCAAATAACGTCTCGAGATCAGCAACAATAAATAATACCGCGAGTACTTACTCAGGATTCAGGAGTACAACGTGGGGTGGGACCGACGCTTACGATTGCTATACGATTCTTCAGCTACTGTTGAAGGCGCGTTTTTTCAATCGTTAACAAGTCCAAATTTTCTTTGTTTGTCAGTTTTCCCCACTTTTCTTTCGGAAATTCCCAAGCTGTAGTTGGACTTATTCACGTACAAATGGGTTTTTAAAGAAATTCGTTCTGAAGTAGTGGTTGATAGGGGGTAGAGGAGTAATTTTATGTTTCAGACTTGCACAGGCCCACAGTTCGTCGTTGCACATCTACTTGTTATCATATCAACCCATTTCAGCTTTGATTGCATTCATCTGTTGATCAATCGCAGCTGGAAAGTGGCAACCCTGTAAGTGCAATTCTTGAGAACTCTCCGTTTTACATCAATTTTGAGGTTGGCTCGTGTAATCTCTCATTTTTGTGATAAATCAGAGAACTTGAAGTAAAATTTTGTCTTGAAATGAGCGATTCTTGTGTAAGACTGGGAAAGTTTAAAATCTGCTGTGCACTGAATGTGTTGACTTTGTTGATGTGCCATAGTTGATGTTTTATATTGAGAAGATTTAAACTGATGATTGTTAAAGATCCTGTTCTTTTCTTGCAAATCAACTCATGAAACTTGAGCTACATTCAGAAGATTTTAAGTGATTATTGTTACCGATCATGTTCTTTGCTTGCAATTAGCTTATGAACTTTGAGCTCTATTGAGAAGATTTGGGGTTAAGCACAATGAAGTGGATAATTCCTGAAGAAATTATCCAGCTCATGTTGGCTTCCCTTTTTTTTATTATATATATAAAAAAAAATTGAACCTTTTGCAGTTTCAGAAGTGCTACGATGAGCAAATGGCTCGAGACTTGAATCATAGGAACTGCAAGAAAAGCTTTTATGAGGTAGTTGGTTAGGCAACTGTGAGTGTTGAAGAACTCTTTGGGGAAAGCCGGGGTCTTATGAGCGTGAGGAGACTTCTTTGATCGTATGTTTAAGTAATTTCATTGGGTGTATGTTATCACCGTTGGTTTTCAGATTAAAGGCTGCTCAACATTGACCCATGGTTGAGCGAGTCATTGCATTTCGATATATTTCTGGTTAAAAAATTTTCTTTCTAGAGTTGAGCTGCATTGTTGGCTCTGTATCTTTCAAAAATCTGCACAGTGATTGACAAAAGTTGCATGATGGAGCAGCGATCTGTTAAATAATTTTGGATTAGCATACTTCTACATTTAGATGAATATCAAATGTTCCAGTGTTGATTAGTTGCTATATTACGCCATGAATGTTGAATATTACAACCTCAGCTGCGATGTTGATTTATGATTCTGGATGTAATTGACAAGAACTAAAATCTTTTACTGCTAATGATTTTTCATTTTCTCCTTTCGAGTTACAGATATAGCCAAAATGGATCGAGGTCAACTCACCTTCATGGGATCTACTGTATGTGTTATGCTCACCCTGCATTTCACCATACAGCTTCTGACGCAACACTTCATGTCTTGGAAAAAGCCAAAGGAGCAAATAGCCATAGTTATCATCATCCTCATGGCTCCCATATATGCCATTGACTCATATGTTGGCTTGTTAGATCTTCTTGGAAGCAAACCATTTTTCACTTTCTTAGAATCTGTCAAAGAGTGCTACGAAGCTCTGGTAAGCCGTTTTGTAGCCAAAGAGCAGATTGTCCACCATCTGGTTTTGTTTTCTCAGTTTCTTGGATCTATGGTACATTTGTACTCCTGCATTTCATTCCAATTTTGCTAACTTTCTCTTTTCATTTTACATAGGTGATGGCTAAGTTCTTGAGTTTGATGTACACATACTTGAACATATCGATAAGCAAAAATATTGTGCCAGATGAAATTAAAGGACGGGAGATTCACCACTCCTTCCCAATGACACTTTTTATGGTAGGGTTGTTTGATTTCAGTTCAATTTTTTGTTTAGTCCTGGCTTGTTTTTGGCAGAAACATCTTTCCCACAGTGAAGAACGCGGTTTGAGTGTGCAGATCTTTTTTAAAAATAAGTATGCTGAGTGTTGCTTGCAAGGGATGAGAAAAAATAACAAGTTGTGCAAAAGGTTACTGTATCTCTTGCTTTAGCAATTAGATGTAGAGCTCACGATGGGTTGCTTTCTTGTTTAATAGTTGTTTCCTTAAGATGAGTCAGTTTCTGAAGGGCCACACACCCATGATTGTTTACAGTCACTAATTATAAACTGTCAGTATGACTAATTAAGCTCCGTATGCCAATCGAAAGGCACTGAAGATCATGGCCACTTGAGCTCTATCACTTGGTTATCTATTGTTCCTTGATCTCATGGCCAATGTCACATGCCTAATCTGCTGTTTATATCTATTGCAGCCTCACACTACCCGTTTGGACCATAATTCACTGAAGCTTCTCAAGAATTGGACGTGGCAGTTTGTTGTCCTTCGCCCTGTGTGCTCCGTCTTAATGATTGCTCTTCAATTGCTTGGCTGGTATCCTGATTGGGTCAGCTGGATATTCACCATGATTCTAAATGTATCCGTTTCATTGGCATTGTATTCCCTTGTGGTTTTCTACCACGTTTTTGCTAAAGAGCTGGCACCACACAAACCCCTTGCGAAGTTCTTATGTATAAAAGGGATTGTTTTCTTCTGCTTCTGGCAGGTAAGCTTGCCACAGTACCTGTCATAAAGTTGCTCATAACTTTAGTTTGAAATGGAGAACAAACTATATTGCTTTTTATCATGCATGGAAGAAAGACTATTTCCACAATTGTCTATAATTATGGGCATATTTGGTAATGTACTGCTGGTAATTAGTCTGGTTTGTCTTCTTATAATGTTCTGGGGCTATTACAAGTAACTTGTGGAAGTTCTTCAAGGGGCTTGTAAGTAGTTGCTAGGACACCTCTTAGCCTGTTTTGACAGCCATTTTTTCTGTGTGGCATTGGTGCATCTTGCTTTCATGTCATTGTTCTTTGTCACACCTTGTGCTAATTAGCCGCGCAACTTGAGCATAAATATACAAAAGAAAGCGATACTGCTACAATTAGGCTTAAATGTAATGAGCTCGGACAGGGTACAACTGAGTGGTTGAATAGGAAGTGCATAGCATACCTTCTACTTTCCTTTTTGCAAGTGATGAACTATCTAGTTTCCATATATTTGTTAAGCCAGCAAATTTTATCGCTTTTGCAGGGTTTGCTACTCAGTGGTCTTGTGTCCGTTGGCATAATCAAATCTACTCATTTCTGGCTTGATGTGGAGCATCTTCAGGAAGCTCTTCAGAATGTCTTGGTGATTGTGGAGATGGTTTTCTTCTCCATTGTTCAGCAGCATGCATATAGTGCTGAACCGTACCGTACTTACTCAGTTTCGGGTTCTGGAGACAAAAAAAATGAGTAAATGAGTAAAAGAAATTTTGAAGGTAATTTTGGGGCATCTCAGTTCCTCTCTGTATTTTGTCTGGAGATTTTTTGTGATGTTGCCTATCTTTAAGCTGGAGATGATATTACCCTTAATTTGGGATACCATCAGCATCTTAGCAAGAGTAGTGGGATTGCAATATATTATTTCTAATTCCTGATTATACTGTGCTAATTAGTTTTATTTACATTTCTCTTGCGTTGGTAATAAATTATTGGATGCAGAATAGAAATAAGTAAGATGGTGAAGGTGATATTTGTGGTGTTCGCCATCCTTCTGTCATTTTAATGCTTCTATCATGAGGATATTTACTCAATAACTAATAGGCGTCAACAGTTGCCTTTACTAATGAAAAATGAGGCAGATAATTAAACATAAGAGATTGGGACTTGGGATAATTTGACAATATTTCTGTTTAAATATCCTTGTCTGTTTTCCCAATCATTTCCTTTCTGTTTCTTTACTCCAGAGCTTCCTTGTAAACAGCCATATAGCTGGTCTTCTACACTTCGCTTCCTCATCTTTGGTCCTTAGTTCAATTTGTCCAATTTATCTCTCTCTTGGGGGATTGTCATTGAGGGAAAGGTAATTCAGGTCTGCTAATGCTGCCTGCATCTAAAGCAGTCAAGTTCAGTAATGGCGCGCTTGACTAATGCAATGCATCCTTAGCAGCAAACAAGAGAAGAGACTGATATACTTGAAAATGTACGCTAATGAAAAGATCTGCTCTAGTTAGGATGCCTGGGAAAAGGCCTAAATTCCGCTCTTCACGTCCGCTAACTGTCATGAGATACCCGTAAAGGAAATGAGCAATGGTTGTATACCAAAACGACTAATGCAAAGTCAGTGGAGCATTGCGCTCATCATATGTTCATCAACAACGATGGGATTTTTCTTTGTTAATCACATTGAAAGAAGAATATAAATTTTGTACAGCAGAATCGGAGAGAAGTGAACAGATCAAATACGCTGTAGACAAGGGAGATTTTCTCTCTCTTTCAGTCTATGGAGACGACTCAGGCAAGGTATTGGGTTGGTCATCCATCGAGAGGAAGCACGCAACAACAAAATGGGAAGACTTCACGCTTAATGCCTATAACCCCAAGGCCATGATAATGAGAGCTCATGTTCCCCTTCCATCTCAGATATATGAACACAAAAATTTGGAAGGATGGATGGATCAAGCCTCGCATCCATTGTACTCTTGCTTTTTGATATGGTTAGAGATTTTCTCTCTAACCTTCCACAACTAATTATGATACAACCCGCATTTTCTTTGTCCAATAGTGAGAATATTCAAACTCGTCCACTACTCGATTGTTAATACATAGATTGTTGTTTTCTTTAAATAATTGCACGTATGTAGTTCTAAAGATCACTAGAAAATGTCCGAAGTAGGTTTTTTTTTCCTTTCCTGTGAAGCAAGACTTTTACTATAAATATACGTAAAAATATATAAAAAAAAAAGATTTATAACTCTCCTCATAAATTTGTAAAAGTTCTTAATGTGACTCTAGAATCAAATTTGACAAGTACTTACTAATACTTCCAATATCTCTAAAATATACTCTTTTGTTTTCTCTTTCCTCTTCTTCCTTTTTTTCACTCTAGGAAACTGAAGGTTTTGTTTTTTTTTCTTTTTTTGGGAAAAGAGAGGAGAGAGGGGGGGGGGGGGTTTAAATATAGTACAGGGCGAAAATTACAAAAGAATCTTTTCAAGGGTTCCATTTACAAATAATGGCAAAGACAAATTGGTTGGTATTCGGCCCAAAAGATGCCGTCCATCAATGAAAATGAACCGTGCTTAGAAGAAGACGATTCTGCACTGAAATCGCAACCCTTTCAGAAGTTGTGTTCCCTTTCCTCCGTCTCAGTAGCCGTTGGAGGAGCTTCTCAAAGCTCTCAGCTCATTCCCTCCTTTTTCATCACCTCTGCAAAATTCCCGCCTAAGTTACACTGATCTTCTCTTCATCTTTTCAATTCATCCTTCAAAACCCTAGCTATGAATTCCTCATGAAATGCTGCTCTTTTGTGCATTACATGCAAATACTCAAATGGGATTTTGAGCTTTTGGGCTACTGAGGTAAATATCCCGTTTTTCAGTTTTTCTATTTTTTATTTTTAATTTTTTTTGACAATGAGTTGTGCTTCGATGTTGCTACGTTCTATCAATTTGGGGGTTTTTGTGGAAAACGTAATTCTGGTGTGAAAATGTCAACTTTCCATAGTTTTTGTTTTAGAATCGTATGGTTTTGAATTTTTCACTCTCTGGGCTTACATAATATCTACTTGGATTAAGTATATTTGTTATTTCAGTTATCTTTTGAATCTGGTTTGGAAGTTTTGCTTGATTTTCTTTTACTTGTTTCAGTTTCAAGAAAATTTGTGTTGCAATTGAGGTGATGCCAGTCTGTTTAGGATTTTCCAGCGCAATTAAGAAATGTTAGTATGTCGAGAATAGTTGAATTTTGGAGGTGAAAATTTTGCAATAAAGAGAATGGCTAGTTCCACACTTTGGCGGATGTTGAAATTTCTGCTTTTTATATGGTTGCAATCTATTCTGATAAATTGGCCATCTTAGCTTGCTCTCAACACTTTAGCATTTTTAATTTTACTATTGCAAAAGCGGAATGACGGAAATCTCTTGAATTAATTTACAATAGCATGTTTCTTTCAAAATGTTTTTGAAAAATTAAAAGCTCTCTTTCGAAGCACCTTGCTGGCTGCTTCTCATAATCATCTTTCTTTCAGCTAGACAACATCAAGGTGACAGCACCTCAAAATGGATTTTGGCCTAAAAAAAGCTATATTGTGCTGAATTTAAGATTCCAGAATAAGTTGAACAGGTTTTAGCCTATTTTGTGGGAATTAGTTTTGGCATGCTGTAGTGGAAATATTTTGACGAGCAAATTCATCTGTTGAAGATGTCATGAGTTGATTGTGTGTGCTAGCCCAATTTGGATGATGAGGACGAATGATGATTAACATTTCCATGTCTTAGTTCTGATGATCAGTTTTGACGATAGTTTCAAGGTCTGAATGGCAACTGACACAGCACCAGATGAGAAAGTTCACACCCATGAAGAGAAGATTGAAAGGCTCGAGCACACAATTGACTACTTAAAGAAAGCAATTGAAGACCTACAGAGAAGTCAGGATGAACAAATGCAGCACTTTGAAGGTCGATTCCAAAAACTGGAAGGCATGCAGAGTTGCTCTACCTTGGCAAAGCAACCAAAAGAGTTTCGAGGTGAAAAAAACTTTTGTTACTCTTAAACGAGAGTTCACATAGATATTTTAAACCTTTACTTCTTCAATAACCAGAGTTGTAATGTACTGTAACTATGCAACAATATGATGCCTAGTTTTGGATTTAGGTACAAATTCCAATTTTAAAGTGAGGTTGTGTCGGACCATGAGGAACTATATGTATGTCGCTGTTGACTATCAGTGATCGCCAGGCAAAATTCTCTCTTTGGCATTAGTCATTTTTGTTTTGTATCTCTCTGCAGTAAAGCCTAACACGCAAGATGAAGTAGCATAAAAAGTTAGGTCCTAATCCCTCATTTTATTCTTTTGGATTCCTCAGAAAGGAATCTTATTGTATAATGGAAGATTGTAAGTTGTTGCCTTTTTCTTGCACCTATATAACTATCCAACTCAAGGAATTATCTTTAATGGGCGGGACTATCTGTGGTTGAGTACAAAATAGGAATGAATTTCCAGTGACCCACTTTATCACAAGAACCCATTATTCTCGAGGGTACATAAATGAGACTTACATGCTTTATCAGACACTTGCTAATATCTTATGCTTCCAGGACTAACATTTGATCTATTGTGCCCATGTAATAAAAGTTCATTTACCTACATCAAACAGTCGTAACTAAGATAAGAAATCGAATGTATCACTTAATTTGGGTTGCATTCTTTGAGAAGGATTCTCTCTCTGTATCAATGTTGTTTGTACTTGTGTGTTTGTTTATTTAGTGCAATAGTGCATTACAATGTGTTATACAAACTATGCATAGTGCTTCAAATTCATTCATTGAAGAGGATCGAACTGACTTATGACTTATGACTTATCCTTTACATTGGAAAAATGATCCAGTAGTTTGTCAAATTATGGTGCTACCTCTCTTCCATATTTTATGGCAAGATGAATTTGGAATGACGTTCTTCATGAAAATTGAAGAATTAATGGGTCATTGAGTGTCAAGCCTACACATAAATGGATATGATAGTGCTTTAATCATCATTTCTGTTTGGGAAAGTTCAAAATTTTTTCCTAGCAAGCAGCATAAATAGTATTTATGGAATAACAAATACCAATATTGGTCTTTATAGATCCTGGGTTCATGTTTCTTTATATGCTTAAATCCCTAATATATGTTGAAAGTATTGAAAAGTTGCACTAGATGAGTAAAAATTTATCTGGAAAGAAGAAGAAAACATGGACACTGTTTTTTTGACAAAATCAATTTCATTTTTCTGGTCATAGTGTAACATGGTTCAGAGGAATATTGAAGCCTGAGATTTGTCACAGTGGTGCCTTATGTAAAACTAGATTTAGATATGGATTTTTTTCTGATCTTAATACTCAGTTTTCATGTATGGAGATAGCTAACTATTTTCCAGGTACTAAAGTAGTGATGGACCGTGGGGCTAATCATGACTTGCATCCAGGACCCATAGATGAGTCTGTGCTGACTCTGCAGTATGATCATAGGTCCACAGCCATATGGCGTGGTCAAGAATTTGAGCCACTTACATGTAGAAGGTGTGATGGTGCATTCTGGCGATTAGGTGAATTAGATTCTCGTATACAGTGCTTGATGATCCAAGCTGGCTTCTATGGTGTGTATAAGGCGGGTCATATACAATTAGATCATGCTTTAATCACAGCACTTGTTGAGAGATGGCGCCAAGAAACTCACACGTTTCATCTTCCTGTTGGTGAGGCTACTGTCACTCTACAGGATGTCTCTATCATGTGGGGCCTCCCAATTGATGGTGAGCCAGTGACTGGGCATGATATAGCTCGGACCACAGAGGAGTGGCAAGAAATGTGTGAGGAACTATTAGGATTTAGACCGCCATTGAGTGCTTTTGACAGTGGGCGCCTTAAACTGAAATCCATAGAGGACCATTTTGAGGTTGAGCCATTACAGCCAGATGCCCCAGATCATGTAGTGCAATTCTTTGCTAGAGCACGCATACTACAGCTTCTTGGTGGTTTATTGCTGCCAGATGCATCAAATAATAAGGTAAAACTAATGTTTTTGCCTTTGTTAAGGGATTTTGAGGCAGCTGGCAAGCTTAGTTGGGGTAGTGCTGTCCTTGCTTCATTATACCGTGCTCTATGTCGGGCTACTAAATCAAATGTAGATGGTGTATGTGGGCCTCTAGTTCTTCTACAGGTTAGTATTTTACTACGATATGACTATGAACAATCACCAAATGTCATGCCTTGCTCGTTCTTGTTTCTCGTTTAAGAATGCTGTTTGAAAAACCTCATAGTTATGGGCATGGGAGAGAATACCGCTCATCCGTCCTGAGAGATTAGCCCCTCGACAGCAGCCACCATTTTTTGTGGGGGACGGAGATCAGCCTTTACCTGCTGGACCTTATGGCGCTAGGTATACAACTTGGTATTGTTGACAAAACGCTCTCAAGTTATTTTCTATTGACATTTTTACTTTATAAGAATGGATCTATTTGCAGGTGGGATGTTGGATTTAAGCTGGAAAAGGTGGGAATGCATGTCTTGGTTGTGTACAGGGACATGTTGGACTGCATGAAGGATGACCAGGTTTTTACAAAATTATGTTCTTAATCTACAACCAGTCTTTTTTACATTTCTGATACACTTTCTGATTGAATAAGCTTGTATCTCATTTATGTGTAAACAGAATATCATTTTCCCTTTTCACCTTTCTTCTATAAGGATTTTAAATTGCACACATTCTAATTATTGGAGTTGCTGCAGTTTGTATGGCAGCCCTATGCAGATATCATCACCAGTTTGCCTGACTGCTGCTTATCTGGACGTGATATTTGGCAAACAGTTTCACCTCTTATATGTTTTGATGTCGTAGAACTGCATTATCCAAACCGTGTGTTACGTCAATTTGGTCAGCACCAGGGTATCCCCGCCGAATGTGACACTATTAAGGAACTCCATTCCGTTGATCGACGGGGAAGACAAAACACTGATTGGGTCCAACACCACAAGCAATATGTGGACATGTGGGCAGACCGCCATGCCCGTGTAGTCTGTGAATCCCCAGTTGATGGTCCTATGGATTATTCAGATCCATATATGATTTGGTACAGGCGGATTACCCGTCTACTAATTGGCAACCCTGCAAATCGTACAGACAGTGGATACCAAGGAGTTGGGGGCGTTATTGAGCTCATGGTAAGATAATATACTAGGAGTTTTTGGTTCTGAAAATCATTATTTCATTGATTATTTAAATAGTTTGTTTTCAAAATGTGAACTTAGAGATTGGTCATTTGCACAGGCTCAGAGTTTACAACGGATCTATTATCGCTGTAGTGATGCAATAGATCAGGGGGGTGAAGTTTCCAGATCTGACATCCTGAGGGAAATCCAGGATTTATGTAAACATGCTCTAACTGGAGCTCATGAAGATCGACGCCTTACTCTGCGACCAGATCTAGCTCAACCAGCTCCAATAGCCGCTACCATTGTTGGTCCATCACAGGTTAAGCGGCGTAGACCCCGGAGAGGAGGAAAAATGGGATTATCAATTGGTGATCGACTAGCATTCAACTCTGCAGACATTTCCTCACCTTATGCGTCAACTCCATCTTCTTCACTGGCACCACCATACCATTCCCCAACACACTCTCATGAAGTCTTTACACCAGACGCAGAACCATATGTTGCGCTGTCTGCATCTGCAGCACCTGAAGTTGCTCATGAAGATTTTTCATCAGCTGAGCATTTAGTCACTGTGGGCATACCCGTAGAATCCAAGGTTGAACCAGACACTTCATTAGCTGAGCCTGTGGACACCATGAATGTAGCCACATCCGACGTTTCAAGACATGATTCTTCATCAATACCCCCAGTCCTGAATACCACACAGCCCAACATTTTAGAATTGGATAACATGGTTGGAGCAATTGCAACAGAGCCATCGACTGAGATGTTTGTTACACTGAACTCAACAGTCGAGGATGATTTAATTATGTCCTGTTTGGAGAATTCTCAGCGCCCAAAACTGAAGAAAAGAAAGGCCAAAAGTTGACAACTACAGAGAAGAACCCCAGTTCCCATCTTTTCTTTGCTAAAGTAGTTTGAAGTTGAAGTGAAGTAGAATCCTTCATTTCTGTTTGCAGAGTGAATATGTTAGTGGCTCTCTAATTATCCATGCATATTTTTTGGTTGTTACATGTAATTATGGTTCTTTTTCTTACAGCTGAGTTTCAGCTTTTTACTTTCTTTTTTTCTTTTATTAATTTCTTCTTCTTCAGAACCGTTACATTTTCTGTGAAGTATCATTTTCTTTCTCTGATCAGCATCTACAAGAGTCGAAACTGAATTTTATTGTACTTGACTACTTGCAAAGCATTTGTGGTTATTTAATCAGGCATTTGGTAATTGTGGTCAGAAAGAAATGACAAATGCCTAAATAAAGAAATATTCATTTCTAGATAAAGCCTTATAGAACCAACGGCCTTTGGACTGTTGGTCACTATAAAAATTTAAAATTTTGATGGAGTGAAATATCAAAGATTCAAACCTTAACTTTTATCATTATTTCATGTGAATTCTTCAAAATCTATACGATTAGACGAATCTATTGGATCCTCTAAATTGGCCTAACTGAGCCTCCCCTCCCCTCTTAGAATGGAGGTTATTATTTGACAAAAAAAAAAAGAATAAAGCCTTAAAACATACAAAAATTCCAGAAAATTTCAACCCAAACACATTCTCAGAATTTAATAAGTAGAAAAATAAGACAAAATCCGTTAGGCCACGTCGGAAAGGGAAAATTCTATCATCGGTCCTTATTAGTCTCCATCCCAATAAGTTTCTGGAAGAATGATGGAGCTAAAAATATCCATGCATCTCTATCCTTGCTTCCTCATCAGTCTTAATGGACTATGAATAGCTCACCTCCACATTTAATTAGTCAAACAACTTAAATTAATACACTAACAGCTGCCATGACAGCATTTCTTCAGATTTCCACTAATTTCTCTGCCTTAGACTTTCCACCCCAGGATTGTTTGAGGAAGCAGAGGCTTCTGGGATTGAAAGTATCCGAGCCCATCAACATTCGCAGTCTTTCAAGAAGAAAGATTCGATTGGTATGTAAATATTGGTTGAAAACAGGAGTTTCCGAGAGGAAATTGACATTTTTGAGAGTCAACAGGATTAAAGATGGGACTTTTATCGGAGAAGATGGGTGGAAGAAGAGCAAGAGGGTAGTGCTTGTGAGATTCAATGGCCTTGGTGGTGGCGGTGGAGGTGGAGGTGGCGGTGGCAGAAGAGATAATGCTAGAGTATTGGGGAACCTTGCTTTGGCAATTGGCTTGATTTATCTCTCAGTGACTGGACAGCTTGGTTGGGTTTTGGATGCAATTGTTTCTGTTTGGGTATGGTAACCTGTCTACCTTTATCTTCCTCTTTTTCTCCCTGTATCTGTGTTTTTAGTTAGTATTTATCTTTCGCCTGTATTTTTAGTTGCATTGCGTGACCATCTGGCAATCTATCTGGTACTGCACTTTGCATCTGCTAAAACTTTGTGTATGAAACTGTAGGTTTTTGTATGTGGGGCCTCATTCCAAGATTAATGTGCGTCCTTAATGTGTTTGTGGAAGTGGGAGCAGCAATATGTTCAATGTATCGACTTGAAATTAGTTGCAAAATTCATGGATGACCAGAAGATGTGATATATTTCAGTCTTTGCTACGTTGTTTTTTTTTTTCTCTACATTTTGATTCTTTAATCAACTATGAAACGTTAATTCTTGGATTTGACATACGTGGCAGTTTTATGTACTGGTACAATTTGCTACGTCCATATATAAGTTCTAATTGTTGCGTGATGAATATGGGTGAATCGATGCCTTCCTGATACTGAAAAGTTTCTGACAATTCTGATATCAGCTTCTTGCCGTGCTGCTACCAATTGTGGGATTGGGAGCTTTTCTCTGGTGGGCTGGACGGGACATCGTCCAAGGCACTGTGAGTAACCAAACCTCCAATCTGTATTTTCTGCTACAATAGGCCGTTCGCTTGCAACAAGAAGCTTCCTGCTGAGAACATATGATATAAAGATGTACCAGTACGTCTGATATCACTTTCTGTTGTATCTGCAGTGTCCAAACTGTGGGAACGTTTTTCAAGTTTTCAAGTAAGATCAACTCTAACCCTAAGTATTGATAACATTAGTTATGAATTCCTTGTTCTTATGGTTCTTTCTTTGCCTGCTCATTGATTTCAGATCTACGCTTAATGATGATTTACAGCTATGCCCTTTCTGTAGTCAACCGTTCTCAGGTAACAACAAATTCCATCTTGGCCTGCTATTCTGCATTTTGCCCATTTTGTAAAAGCATTTTACTAAATTTGTCCAGAAATTTATTCTTCTGGAACATCGCTGTAGTTATATGGCTACAGATTGTGTTTGTGGCTTTGCCAGGCTTCTTTACATGGTAAAATACTAGTTTAATTTTTTAACTTGTGATCATTTACTTTACCTTTATTCAAATGATTAGCAAGCTTAGAATTTTTGTTAATGAACTAAAAGTTTATTGACAACAGCTTTTCCCATAGAATTCCTTCATTTTGCTTATATTTTGCTGTAATTGAAATGAATTTCTTTTTCATTAGTCTAATTTTTTACCATGGTTTTGCACTGAAACTCCTACACTTCTTACAATCATCTTTTATAGCTGATAGTCTTCACTATTGCGAAGAAAGCTCTTCCCCTACCTACAGTGCTCCACCTCTTCCTTTCAGTCAGCAGTATATTACCTTGCTTCAAGGGTCAACTCATGTGCTATTTATCTGTTTTAGTGGTAGGAGATAAGTTTGTAAGAGATCCGGTAAAGTTTTCCAACCAATCCACTACTTTTGAGGACGCATTCAATGATTTTTTCCCTCATGCAAAGAAAGGTTTGTGCCTCTTTACCCTTCTTTAACGCTGTCTTATGCATCAGGCATGCAAGCAGTATTTGTTTATTTGTTTTAAGAGCAACAGCAGAACCTGTGATTCCTGCCATGGTTTATGTAAGTTTGCACTTAAGTTAGGAGACAACCTTTGCTTTGGTGCTTGTTAAATTCAATATTGAATTCTGAACTTATATCAGTCTTTACTACTGTAACAACTGTCTCATGCTTCTGGAATTGCTGGCCGCAATAATTTCCTTTAACAGATGCACTTAGTTTAAATTTATTAAATGTTATGTTGAATTTTGGTCACATCTATGCCACTTAATTTCTAAAAATATACTTGTTCTATTCTGTTTCCCCAAAACCTGATATCTATACAGAATATAATCTTCAGGGTTTAGGGAGCTGGAAAATGGGGTAAAGAAAAAGGAATGCCGAACAAAAGGGTAGAAGAAAGTAAATCATTTTCCTTATGAAACTTTCAGTCGCACTAAATCAGTATCATTCTTTTGCAATTCAAGATTCATCTGAACATAGAACCTCAGTCTTTGGTTATTTTGATGCTGGTGTTGAAATTTGCACTGTGATGAAGCATTTAGTTCCAAGTTACTAAAATTGCTGTCCTTCAAATTTAAGCACACAATATTCCCACTGTACAGGAAAGGATTCATCTGTATCAGTTGTCGATGTTGAAGCTGAAGTAAAAGATGCAGAGTAAGGCACCTTTTATCCCAGACACGGCATTTGGTAAGAATCTGACTTTTAAGTCCTTTTTTTTTTTTTCAATTTCCACTTTTTTGACACACATGGTACCCAGTGACAGTAATCTCATTCTAGATTGGAACTGTTATGTTCCTCATTTTCTATAGTTACACGTAAGGCATTTTGGTTAGCATTTTTGGGGAAAAGCCACTCATTCTTGACTGAGTCAGTACTCGATAGTCTAACGTAGAGCATCTGCATCTCATGCCAACTGTTAATTAGGATGGATAATTACCCACAGGAATCGCTGGGCATGGTTCCTACAAAAGAATAATAGCGTGACCATGAGGTCAAAATGCCTTAAAACCATTTTTCGCGAAATAAACTCAATACTGATCTTTTAATATATTTTTAACAATGACTATAAGCAGTAGTTATCTTGCTGAAAAGTCACTGTGTGCAGTTTAACTGCACCACTTGTGTCATCTTGATCGTGCTTTTGAGATCTTTTTTGGAGATGCCAACAGTTTATCTTAGTTGCTCCTGTCTTCCATGCACATCTGCGTGCTCTTCTACTTTAAGCTCTTTACAATATATGCCTACGTATGATGTCAATGGAAAAGCAGGTTGAGCCTGGTAAGGAGAGAGTCTCTTGATAGAGATCATGATACCCTCTTTGAATCCTCCCAGGGGCATATGGTGTCTCAAAGCAATGGATTTAGTTGCAAGCGCGGGTTGTTTGACCGAGCAAAGTGGTTTATCCATTCAACTTTCCAGCTATAATTCTTGTCACGCAATGTTTGTCTAGTGTTTCCTTGTTGAAAGATGGAAATTTGTACCACTGTCTTCTCTAAAATTTGGGTAGAGTTGCTGTACATCTTTTTGCGCCTGTAAGCCATATATGAGATTGGAAATGTTACAGGATTCCTGTAAAATTAGCTTTTGCTTTCTGTCCTCTGTGAGCCCACTCCGCCATTCTTTGGCATTGGAGAAGAGAGGGGCGTAAGAGAGGTTTGTGGGGAGCTACTGAACCTTGAAAGGAGATTCCATTTCCAGTGTAGATAGATAGATAGATAGACTTGTGTTGGATACCCTCTCCATTTGTCCAGACAGATTTGTGTCCCCGGACACAAGCTTGTATTGGACTCCTACCACGATGGCCCGTAAGCATACCTTTGACATTGGACTAGAGTTTTAGTGCCCAGCTATATTTGGGCAGTAACATCAGTCCTCAACGTTGTAAAACGCTATAAACGAATTTGTCACTCGTGGTTTGCCTTAGTCCTACATGAATAGTAACTCGGATACCGGCCATTACCCCAGTTGACATCGATATCAATAATAGGATAGGATTACTATGCGAGCGTGCCACTATTTAAGAATGGCAAGAATACTACCCTGGAATCTGGATGAACTAGGACCATGCTTGATTCGAATTTCAAAAAAAAAAAGGACCATGCTTGATTCAACACATTTGATGCTTTCACAAATGCCTCTGGCAATTAAGCCTATTTAATTGTAAGTTCCAGTTTCCACGAGTCAATTATACAACCGAAAAAGAGTTTCAGATACTCTTCCGTCAAAACACCAGTTAAACAACAGAAAACTATATACAACAACCAGCCGACAATATCACAGTAGAATTATACAAGGAAATCAACAGGCGACTTCATGCAGTACACAGA